GTAATTGCTGCAAAAGGTGGCTGTACAAAGTATTGACTTTGGGAATAGTTCTGCATGCTCAAGTTTTCTTTTTTTTTCTTATTTCTTGTTTGTTTCACAATAACAAATATTTTGCATCTTCAAAGTGGTAGGCATGTTGTGTAAAGCAAATGGTACAAACCCACCAAAAATCAATTTCAATTCCAGGTTTTAAGGCAACAAAATAGGAAAAATGCCAATACTTTCGCAAGCCACTGTACTAGCCTACAGCTTTAATATAGCCTATATGAAGGCCTAGATTTATTTTACATTTGACAAACAATAGCCTAACTACTAGGATACTTTGATCCTAATATTTCCAACCAAATTTGTGAAAGAGGTTTGAATGTTTTCCTATTAATTTTGCATAATCATTGTGATTCATGATATAACGATAATATTTATGATCTCTTGCTTTTATGACTAAACAGGCATCGGTAAAAATGCATATGCTTGGTTTAGGCCATTGTAAAGCCGATGTGAAACGGCTAGCCAGTTAGCGGTGAACACTAGTAGGGTTCAATCGGTGACGTCACTCATTTTAAGTAGTAGTGGATTGATAGGTAGCGATGCTTCGTGGGTGACAGTATCGATGTATTCAGAGGGTCCCTGGTTCGAGGCAAGGAGAGGGACGGAGTTGAGAACATTAGCAGCCGCTAGTAATAAGTTAAATACCATTGGCTGCTAATATTCTCAACCCGTCCCTCTACTTGCCCCGAACCAGGGACCCTCTGAATACATCGACACTGTCACCCACGAAGCATTGTTACCTATATTTTGTTCTATGATAAAAAAATTAAATAAAACAGTTTTTAACTGTAGCATCTGAATACTAGTGATGTTACGTTTGGTGCCAGAGCTCCGAGGCATGCGTCAAAATGGCTAAGCAGCTAACTTTGAAGCAGTGTGCCGATGCATCTATCACTCTATCAGAAGTATGTCATCAATGACGTCCAAAGAATTGTTTGATCATGTGCTTTTTCAAAATGCTGATTTCACTGATTTCGCCGTGGTTCCGGTGCTTTCTTCGATTTCAAGCTGCTTTCAAACACCGACCTCTACTGGACACCGTACTTACAAATATAGTTAGGATTTTGTACAAAAAATGTCACCTGACTTAGCAGGTAGAGTAGGGAACTATGGAACATTCAGGGACGTGAGGATATGAAGTCAAATCCAGTTGAAGACATACTATAAGTTGTTTTATGTGAAACCACATTTTCTGCACTGTTATTCAAATAATTTGTTTTATTTAGGTTAGCTTCTGTCTTAAGTCTCCTAATTAATGCTATAGGTTCTGTTTTTTATTTTTATATTACATTTGAAGGCAAAAAAGTGAAGAATGGTGTATGAGGCGAACCTGGTATTGCAACTGATTATAGTCTACTTAAGCCAACGACTTACCGCTGCGCCACGAAGTTTTGATGAAAACAGTGGAGAAAAAAAACTTCTCTGATACTCAGACGCTGCTATTTATTGCTGACCAGAAGATGCCACTAATGTGCATTGTAAACAGATAATGAAGCTCAGAGTAATTAACAGTTTTTCGGCACAATTTGGTGAAAGCGCCAAAGCCTTCAGAAAGCCTTGGTGTCCCGTCACTACTGAATACACCAGTGATTCAGGGTGCTCTACCAATAAAATGTACTGTGAACTTTTAATAGCCTTTCTGCTGTGTGTGTGTGTGTGTGTGTGTGTGTGTGTGTGTGTGTGTGTGTGTGTGTGTGTGGACAGATGGAATAGTACCACAGACACACTTGACTGCATATTTTGTAGCAGACTATTAAAGACTTCTGCTGCATACACAAAAACATCATTATGATTCGCTCCTCCACAGGCCAATTTTATCCTTTACAAACCTTTGTTGCTGCTGTTGCTACTTGGCTTTTACAAGAGATTGGCACCATGTTCTTTGAATTCATACTTATTACTATAAACAGTATCTTTTAAAATGTACTAACTTGCTATGAAATCACCTGCAATTACAGTATAATTTGAAGGCTATGTGAATTCATCACTTTACCTGTAATTGGTTAACGTGTACACGGATGGACACATCACTGTAAACTGGTCATCTCTGTATACCCATCGCAAGACCCACTGGTTGAAGCTTATTTATAAAACCCTCTTAGGCCTCACTCCCCCCTATCTGAGATACCTACTGCAGCCCTCATCCTCCACATACAACACCCGTTCTGCCAGTCACATTCTGTCAAAGGTCCCCAAAGCGCACACATCCCTGGGTCGCTCCTCTTTTCAGTTCGCTGCAGCTAGCGACTGGAACGAGCTGCAAAAAATCACTCAAACTGGACAGTTTTATCTCCATCTCTTCATTCAAAGACTCAATCATGGACACTCTTACTGACAGTTGTGGCTGCTTCGAATGATGTATTGTTGTCTCTACCTTCTTGCCTTTGTGCTGTTGTCTGTGCCCAATAATGTTTGTACCATGTTTTGTGCTGCTACCATGTTGTGCTGCTGCCATGTTGTGTTGCTACCATGTTGTTGTCATGTGGTGTTGCTACCATGCTGTGTTGTCATGTGTTGCTGCCATGCTATGTTGTTGTCTTAGGTCTCTCTTTATGTAGTGTTGTGGTGTCTCTCTTGTCGTGATGTGTGTTTTGTCCTATTTATTTTTTTTTATCCCAGCCCCCGTCCCCGCAGGAGGCCATTTGCCTTTTGGTAGGCCGTCATTGTAAATAAGAATTTGTTCTTAACTGATTTGCCTAGTTAAATAAAGGTTAAATAAAAAAAAAATATATAAAATAAATGTTGAAATAGCAATTGTCAGAGCCTTAAATTCCCAACATACGGCTCTGGGTTCAGCTGAAATCAATCATACTAGCTCCATTCACATACGTATTATTGTTTTGTGTGTTTGCACATCTCCAAATGGAAAGGTACTAGAATCCAGCAGAAGCATTGTCCAGCTGGTCTGTCAGTACTCTGTCTCTTTCCTCTAGTGTTTAGCTCCAGCGTATCATGGTTAGCTCATTATCTCGGCAGCCAGACTTTTGTAAATAGTCATATTAAAAACTTTAATTCCTTCAATGGGAAGACGGAGAGGCTGTCATTGGGAGAGAGATAAATGTTATCATGGCTCCAAAGCCCACCTTTCTTGTTCTCCTGCATAATTAGTTTGTTCTCCGGACTCCTGTAGAATGTTCCATGCCGAGGCTTCTAGAAATAGATTATCCAGGACGTTCATATGAAAATTGTTAGTTCTAGGATGTACAGTGCATTCGGAAAGTATTCAGACCCCTTGACTTTTTCCACATTTTGTTAGGTTACAGCCTTATTCTGAAATTGATTAAATTGTTTTTCCCCTTATCAATCTACACACAATACCCCATAATGACAAAGCAAAAACAGGTTTTTGGAAATGTTTGCATATGTATTAAAAATATAAAACATTTACATAAGTATTCAGACCCTTTACTCAGTAGTTTGTTGAAGCACCTTTGGCAGCGATTACAGCCTCGAGTCTTCTTGGGTATGACGCTACAAGCTTGCCACACCTGTATTTGGGGAGTTTCTCCCATTCTTCTCTGCAGATCTTCTCAAGCTCTGTCAGGTTGGATGGGGAGCGTCGCTGCACAGCTATTTTCAGGTCTCTCCAGAGATGTTCGATCGGGTTCAAGTCCGGGTTCTGGCTGAGCAACTCAAGGATATTCAGAGACTTGTTCCGAAGCCACTCCTCCGTTGTCTTGACTGTGTGCTTAGGGTTGTTGTCCTGTTGGAAGGTGAACCTTTGCCCCAGTCTGAGGACCTGAGCGCTCTGGAGCAGGTTTTCATCAAGGAGCTCTCTGTACTCGCTCCATTCATCTTTCCCTTGATCCAGACTAGTCTCCCAGTCCCTGCCACTGAAAAACATACCCACAGCATGATGCTGCCATCACCATGTTTCATCATAGGGATGGTGCCAGGTTTCCTCCAGACATGACGCTAGGCATTCAGGCAAAATAGTGCCTTTTACTGAGGAGTGGTTTCCATCTGGACACTCTACCATAAAGGCCTGATTGGTGGAGTACTGCAGAGATGGTTGTCCTTCTGGAAGGTTCTCCCATCTCCACAGAGGAACTCTGGCGCTCCATCGGGTTCTTGGTCACCTCCCTGACCAAGGCCCTTCTCCCCGGATTGCTCAGTTTGGCCGGGCGGCCAGCTCTAGGAAGAGTCTTGGTGGTTCCAAACTTCTTCCAGACCTTCAATGCTGCAGAACGTTTTTGGTACCCTTCCCCAGACCTGTGCCTCAACACAATCCTGTCTCGGAGCTCTACGGACAATTCCTTCGACCTCATGGCCTGGTTTTTGCTCTGACATGCACTGTCAACTGTGGGACCTTATATAGACAGGTGTGTGCCTTTCCAAATCATGTCCAATCAATTGAATTTACCACAGGTGGACTCCAATCAAGTTGTAGAAACATCTCAAGGATGATCAATGGAAACAGGATGCACCTGAGCTCAATTTCGAGTCTCTTAGAAAAGGGTCTGAATACTTATGTAAATAAGGTATTATTATTACTTTTCTAAATATGTTTGTAACATTTCTAAAAACCTTGTCATTATGGGGTATTGTGTGTAGATTGGTGAGGCAAAAAAATAATTTCATCAATTTTAGAATAAGGCTGTAACGTAACAAAATGTGGAAATAGGGAAGGGGTCTGAATACTTTCACGAATGCGGTGAAGTGGATTACATGGGTTTTACTCATGTTTGACTTGCACAGAGATAATTCATTTAGTGCATTTTCAAGCTGGTGTATCTGAAAATGACCTATTAATCATGTAGCCTAAGCCCTAAGCAATTGTTAAGTGTGCGAACTGAAGCAGAGAGCATATACTGTATTACCATATACTATACAATACTTCATATACAACATCGGTGTATTATTGCAGGCACATATTTAGAATTGAAGTGCAGAATTCCACCATGTTTATTTTCTCAGGTGGACAACTTTGGTGCACTACAACCAAACCCATCATGGAAGGAGAGGAGCTAGCTGCGTTTGCTGTGGACTTCTACTCCCGTCTCCAGGCGGTCAGCCAGGCAGCTGTCTCTGAGGGGATGTACCCGGCCAGATTGCTGGACTCCATCCAACTATTGCCCCAACAGGCCAACATGGCATCCATACTTCCCAACGCTATAGTCAACAGTAAGTACAACGTAAAGCTTAGGAGACTATGAAATATGTGTGTGTGCGTGCGTGTCCTTCCATGCATAGGTTTGTGTGTAGGTGTGTGTGTGTGGTTGTGCATGCATTCGTAGGTGTGTGTGTGTGCGTACAGTATGTTTGTGTATTTTTGTGTTTGTGCATGCGAATGTGTGTATGTGTGTGTTGGTGTATCATTAATGAGCTATCTCAGTTTAGATGAGTCTGTTTGGCAGGGATAAGAGCCTAGGGGTTCTCCTTGACCTTCAATTAATGTTGAAATTAAGTATTTACTCTTCACCTACATAGACAACACCCCCATCAAACAACAGCCCATTTACTCTGATTAAGGTCTATTGGGTTCAGGTCATCGCTGTTTGACAGTCTATTCCAGCCCTGGTAAAAAATTGAAGATAACTTACGCTTAACCAGTTTCCTCACCCAAGAGACAGCACTGGTGCTTCTTTTAATCCCACTCCCCTCTCCTTCCACCAGATATAAATAAAGCCAGATTAAAAAATATATTAAATTAAGTACAGTGAGATGTGATTCTAATGTCTATGTGTGTGTATTCATCATAAGTGTTTGGATTTATACAACACTTTTCCAATGCCCAAAGCACTGTACTAAGGGAGTGAACTCGCCTCATCTCTGTCTTTCTGCAGAGGACATCTTCCCTTGTAAGGCGTGTGGGATATGGTACCGCAGTGAGAGGAACCTGCAAGCTCATCTGATGTACTATTGCAGCAGGAGACAGAGGGACTCAGTCTCAGACATGATGACAGAGCAGTTAGACAGGAAGACTGGTCCCCATCACATGACCAACGTAGGCCCTGGCCCCTACCCACACTGCAATATAACTGGACCAGCACAGCAGGCCTTGGAGATGCACTTGAACACCCACAATGGTGAGCAGAGAGGAGAATATGTTGACATCATGATGGTACTGTCAAATTATTGTCAATTTGATAGTGTTCATTTCCAATACAGTGAGACATTTACACAGCGTATATAAAACATTAGGAACACCTTCCTAATGTTGAGTTGCACCCCCCTCTCAGAACAGCCTCAATTCTTCGGTGCATGGACTCTACAAGGTGTCGAAAGCGTTCCACAGGGATGCTGGCCCATTTTGACAACAATGCCTCGCAAAGTTGTGTCAAGTTGGCTGGATGTCCTTTGGGTGGTGGACCATTCTTGACGCACACGGGAAACTGTTGAGCATGAAAAACCCAGCAGCGTTGCAGTTCTTGTCATACTCAGACCGGTGCGCCTGGCACATACTACCATACCCCTTTCAAAGGCACTTACAATTTTTGTCTTGCCCATTCACCCTCTGAATGGCACACACACACAATCCATGTCTCAATTGTCTCGAGGCTTAAAAATCCTTCTTTAACCTGTCTCCTCCCCTCCATCTACACTGATTGAAGTGGGTTTAACAAACGATAAGGGATCATAGCTTTCACCTGGATTCACCTGGTGCATTCGGAAAGTATTCAGACCCCTACTTTTTCCACATTCTGTTACGTTACAGACTTATTCTAAAATTGATTAAATCGTTTTTTCCCCTCATCAATCTACACACAATACCCCATAAAGCAAACAAAGCAAAAACTGTTTTTTAGAAATACAAAAAATATCACATTTACATACAGTAAGTATTCAGACCCTTTACTCAGTACTTTGTTGAAGCACCTCTGGCAGCGATTACAGACTTGAGTCTTCTTGAGTATGACGCTACAAGCTTGGCACACCTGTATTTGGGGAGTTTCTCCCATTCTTCTCTGCAGATCCTCTCAAGCACTGTCAGGTTGGCTGGGGAGTGTCACTGCACAGCTATTTTCAGGTCTCTCCAGAGATGTTCGATCGGGTTCAAGTCCGGGTTCTGGCTGGGCCACTCAAGGATATTCAGAGACTTGTCCCGAAGCCACTCCTGCGTTGTCTTGGTTGTGTGCTTAGGGTCATTGTCCAGTTGGAAGGAGAACATTCAAATCAAATCAAATCAAATGTTATTTGTCACATACACGTGTTTAGCAGATGTTATAGCAGGTGTAGCGAAATGCTTGTAAATGCTTGAAATGCTTGAAATGCTTCACCCTCAGTCTGAGGTCCTTAGAGCTCTGGAGCAGGTTTTCATCAAGGACCTCTCTGTACTTTGCTCCGTTCATATTTCCCTCGATCCTGACTAGTCTGCCAGTCCCTGCCGCTGAAAAACATCCCCACAGCATGATGCTGCCACCACGCTTCACCGTAGGGATGGTGCCAGGTTTCCTCCAGACGTGAAGCTTGGCATTCAGGCAAAATAGTTAAATCTTGGTTTCATCAGACCAGCGAATCTTGTTTCTCATGGTCTGAGAGTCCTTTAGGTGCCTTTTGGCAAACTCCAAGCGGGCTGTCATGTGCCTTTTACTGAGGAGTGGCTTCCGTCTGGCCACTCTACCATAAAGGCCTGATTGGTGGAGTGCTGCAAAGATGGTTGTCCTTCTGGAATGTTCTCCCATCTCCACAGAGGAACTCTGGAGCTCTGTCAGAGTGACCATCGGGTTCTTGGTCACCTCCCTGACCAAGGCCCTTCTTCCCCGATTGCTCAGTTTGGCTGGGAGGCCAGCTCTAGGAACAGTCTTGGTGGTTTCAAACTGCTTCCATTCAAGAATGATGGATGCCACTGTATTCTTGGGGACCTTCAATGCTGCAAAATAAATGTGGTACCCTTCCCCAGATCTGTGCCTCGACACAATCATGTCTCGGAGTTCTACGCACAGTTCCTTCGACCTCATGGCTTGGATTATTTGCTCTAACATGCACTTTCAACTGTGGGACATTATATATAGACAGGTGTGTGCCTTTCCAAATCATGTCCAATCAATTGAATTTACTACAGGTGGACTCCAATCAAGTTGTAGAAACATCTGAAGGATGATCAATGGAAACAGGATGTACCTGAGATCAATTTTGAGTCTCATAGCAAAGGGTCTAAATACTTATGTAAATAAGGTATTTCTGTTTTACATTTTTAATACATTTGCAAAAATGTCATAAACCTGTTTTCGCTTTTTCATTATGGGGTATTGTGTGAATGTAATATAACAAAATGTGGAAAAAGGGAAGGGGTCTGAACACTTTCTGAATGCACTGTATGTCATGGAAAGAGCTGGTGTTCCTAAGGCTTTGTACACTCAGTGTATATGTATATACAGTACATATACAGTGGGGTCCGAAATTATTGACACCCTTGATAAAAATTAGTAAAGATTACTGTATAAAATTAATACCTGTTTTCAATACATTTCAATACCTCACCTTGCAAGGATAACAGCACTGAGCCTTTTTCTAAAATGTTTTATAAGTTGGAGAAGACATCGGGAGGGATCTTAGACCATTCCTCCATACAGAATCATTCCAGATCCTTGATATCCTTTGTCTGCACTTATGGGCTGCCCTCTTCATTTCAAACCACAGGGTTTCAATGGTTTTCAAGTCTGGAGACAGAGATGGCCATACCAAATGTTGATTTTGTGGCCAAATAACCATTTGTGGTTTTTGATGTGTGCTTGGGGTTATTGTCTTGCTGGAAGATACAGTTTTAGCCTCCTGGCAGAGGGAACCAGGTTTTTGGCTCAAATATTCTGGTACTAGATAAAGTTAATGATGCCGTTGACCTTATCAAGGGCCCCAGGACCAGTGGAAGCAAAATAGCCACATAACATCAAAGATCTACCACCATATTTTACAGTAGGTATGTGGTTATTTTCTGCTCATGCATTCTCATTTCGATGCCAAACCCACAACTAGTGTGCGTGGCCAAGAGCTCTATTGGTCACCCACCTCAGCACCCAGCGCAAGCTCTTCTGGATCTGGTCCTGGGTTACTGAGCCAGCCATCCCCTGGATAAGCCCCCATAGCACGTCCCACAGGCTCGCAGCAACCCTATTGTCGTCCTCCAGTGGTGGTTGTTATAGGGAGCTCCATTGTTAGGGATGTGGTGATCGCGGAAGCAAGGACCCACTGCTTCCCTGGAGCCCGTGTTCAGGACATTGATCACCAGGTCCCTGCTGTGATGGAGAAGCACCCGAATGCTCACACGGTAGTCATTCGTGTTAGTACAATCTTCGTAAATCAGAGCAATTAAAAGCTGACTTCAGAGTGCTCAGACAAACTAAAGGAGACAGACAAGCAGGTTCTCATTTCCGGGCCTCTACCAACAATAGGTTGCGGAATGGACACTTTAGTCATCTCCTCTGGCTACACCACTGTCTTAAATCCTACTGTTCCTCGATGGACTGACAATTTTGACCACTTTTGGGAGAGGCCCCAGTTTTACAAGAGGGATGACTTGCATCCAAATATGAAAGGGGCAAAAGTTAAGAGCGAGGAGGCTCTTATAAAGCATTGACTCAAAAACAGCCCAACCCCTGCTCAGGTCACTTTTCCCACTCCCACTATTTCACTGCGTTATCATCATTCTGCTACAGATAACCATATTCCCAGGGTTATTGTCAGTAATAATCTTGTGACCATAAAGTTGAATTCCACTGTTAGCTCTGTTACCTATAGCCCAATTGGGAAGCCCACTATGGTAAGCCCGTCCAGTGCTATTATATAAAATACCATAAATATAGATACTGTCAAGGAAATTCTAATCAATAATGAGGAGAGACAGGGTCAATCACCAATCAGGATATTACTCTCTTCAAAACGTATTAATAAGGTAGTAAGTGAGGCTGGTCGACCCAACACTCTTGACTGTTGGGTTGAGAGCTCTGACATACAGACAATACAAAGATATTTTATAGCAAGATACCCACCCCCTCTCACTCTACATGACAAACAGCAGATGTGTGGAATGAGTCAAAAGGTTAGGATTTGTATGAAATAAATTAATAATTCACAGCAGACAGTATCTGCGGTGAAGACTGTTCTCATTGGATGGAAACCAGGGTTTGGCCCCCAAGACATGGTTCTTATCAACATTATCCATACCAGAGCCATCTCTCCTTGGTACCTTACATTACACAAACACCAATTCAGTCTATGAAAATGCAGGGTCAGTCAGAGCAGAGACATCTCCCTCTCACACACCATTAATCATGAAATGGAATGTGGCTGTTGGATTTATTACCTAGCCATCCCTAAATCAATTGCCAGGCCCAACTTCAGAGGCTCCTCTCAGTTCACACAGACACAGAAGAGAGAGTTTCTAAGAACCCTATACTATTGCATAAAACAGTATTAAACATAATCTTGTAATTTTTCAACCATATTCCCCCATTTTGAGACTTGCGTCTCAACTTCAAAGAAAATTACAAGGTTTAAAAATACATTAATACAAATGTAGAAAACCAAATAAAACATCAAACAAGTTTTAACTTAAGCATATAAAAAACTTATATATTACCATTGTAAATGACCATCCGTTGGTTTATTGAGCTTTTAAACCTTAACATAAATTATCCTTCATTGGGAATGATATAAACGTTAAAATATCATTAAGAAATTCTCAGCAATCTAAATCAAAGTACATTTTTCATCAGTACGAAACAAAATCATCATGTTGCTACTGAGCATACTCCAATTGGTCAGCATGGTGGAAATAACTATTTCGATCCCCATAACACCATCTGTAGAAACTAAAATGAGCATATCTTGTTGGACAATCCAGGTAGTGACTCCCAGTTTAAGTCAAATGTATTCCATTTAGTGCCTAATGAACATGACCCAGGAGAAGCATAGTTCCTGAACATTAACATTATCATTAAAAATGTAATTTACTAATGAATATACGTAGGTCAAATAGATTAGGATCAGTTTCACTCTCAGGATCAGTTCACCCTCTCCATCCATTCACCAAGACATGCTGAGAATAGTGTCAATATCTTTAGTACACAACTTCTTTACCCATGTCACAATTAGCATAACAACAATCAAAACAATCAATCCATAATACATTAATTGCTTCTCTCATATAGTTATTAAGATACTAACAACTTACTCAAATCAATCAGTCAGTTTACAAATCATAATCAAAACCCAATTAATGATCGAAACCAAATTTAGAATGACAATTCTTAGTGATTCACATTGGTCCTATCACTCAAAGTTAAAACCCTCAACTTAGCACACATCGACACTGGCAGAATGTACATCTATATTAACATACAGTATAATTATCCATAATTCTAGTATTAACTTCCTCATTAGGATTATAATTACAGATCAGTATCTCAATGCATTCTTAGTCTAAATTACTATAAATTTAGCAGTGTGTAGACCTCCTCAATCAACCTGATACCCCAAAATAAACAATTTTAGACAATTATGGGCACAGTTGACCAACCCCCCCCCCCCCCCCCCCCTCCAGGCACTCGTTCTTCTGGCATCTCTTCATTTTCTTCTTCAGATAGCATTATAGTTCAAAATGGATGGCCCATGATAATGTCCCAATTTCAATGTCTCAGGAATAATCTGATTTTCCCAGACAGACTAATGTCTCACCTGAGCCCCACCACAACGCCTATTATGTCTATTTGCCAACCAGTATACCAGCAACATTAGAGAAGTTTTGGAACGGATCTCTCTCCATGCTCACTTCACTCCTGTCGCACTCCTGAGACAAAAGGCATGAGAGAAAAAGCAGTTGATAGCTTCGATTAGATGCTGTGTACAGGTTGCTGGCTCGAAGTGGTGCAGGACCGTATTGAATGTCATTTTCTTCAACCGGTTAGAGGGGGTTTTGAGGTTCACACCGTTCTTGGCCGAATTATCCCTTTCATGCATATAGATACCATCTGTAGTCACGATCACCATAACCTTGAGAGAGGACAGATCAGAACAACAGTTTAGTTCAGTCCATTTCTGATTCAGGAAATCCAGACAAGCATTGACTGTGTAAAAAAGTATTACTTTTACCAATATTCTCAATACAAATTTCTAAGACAAATGTCAAAGAATAACAACACATTCTGTTGAAACAATGTTTTCAAATTACAGGATCAGGAAGTTAGACCACTAATCCTTAGGGAGTCATCTCGATCATCCAGCAGACCCAATCTGGTGAGATTTGTATCGAAACAAAACAGAACAAACAACACAACAATACACTCCTTCATATATCACTCGATACACTTCTCTATATCACTCAAGGTGTGTAAAACTTCAATCCAAAAACCTTCAGAGGACTGGTAACTCCCCCATTTTGACACATTACTCACAATGTGATTAATGTGGAAAAACAGCAACACTACTGGTGAAATAAAAACAAATTTAAAATAACAAATCCATAATAACTCTGTAAAGAAAGAATTGTACCCATACGGTCATAGGAAAATAGACTTAAGACAGCCTACCCTTATTGAAAGGCAAACACCCTCTCCTTCTCCCCCGTGGACCAAATCACAAATAGGGCTATGAACTATAAATTCATCATAAGTATCAGTATTACAAATAACCTTCAAATCAGTATTACATATGACCTTTAAATCATCATCCAATGTTTCTCTGCTTTCAGTGAGGGAGATCAAACCACACTAGAAAGTCACAACAGAGGTCAGAGGTCATTCAAACCGTTCAAAGAAGTGTTTCATTCTATAGTAGACTAATTATTTAAAAACAGTCAAATATTTCATAAATTTCGTATCCGAGGTGTACAGTAAGTCTTCAGTACAGTTCTTATCAAAAGTTTAATTAAAACTCAGAAAACTAAAACTTCAGAAAATTCCATGTGTGTGCCCCTTTAAGGTGCATGTCAAGGGCTGATGTGGATGCGGTGTTGGAGACAGAAGCTTAGTCAAACCGACTTTAATTGTCACAAAGACAAATACAAAATAACGGGCCTCAACACACAGGAGGCGAGCGATTACGCAAACGGTGCGTAAAACACTAAACACTAGAAAACAATAAACATACACCAACGGACAGGCGTACAACAACACACAACTGCAAACAAAACCAAAGGAAACGTATAGGTGACCTAATCAATACATAATACGAAACAGGTGCACCAACAAGACAAAACCAAACAAACATAGAGAACATCAAGCGGTAGCAGCTAGTACTCCGGGGACGACGAACGCCGAAGCCTGCCCGAACAAGGAGGAGGAGCAGTCTCGGCGGAATTCGTGACAGTGCAGTCTGTCTAACCTGTGAAAAACCCACTAAACCCAAATGAAATAGTCCATTCAAGAAGTCAAACACGGTATTAAAACACTAACAAATATTCATAACAAGTGTGTTGTGTGAGGGTATTTGCAAGCCATAGGGCAAAAACAAACAAAAATGGCCAGGCCTTATTTAATTTGGTAGCTCCCTTTATGGCTGAATCCAAATACCTTTATACTTATAAAACTGCTGAATTTCACTAACGGCACTCCCCAGACCACAGTCTCAGGAAACATTCCAAAGAGAGAGATAATGACACCCTTCTCTCCTGGAAGAGAACGTGTACATTTCGTTAACATTCACCATAGCACATCTTAATCAGCAACCCAAACGTTTTAATTACAAACAAAACATGATGAAGATAATTCCACTGTACTCCCTCCAATCAGACATTGTGTGTTTTAATCTACCCCATCGTTTTATGTATCCTTTATTTAGCATACAAGTAGCGATAGTTACCGGAGTTGTAACTCCAGTTCTATGAATGGAGTGGAGTCCCATAGGGGAGCTCTGCTCCTATTGGTTTACCCTGCTGCCTAGACAGCAAATATCCTGAGAAAAAATGATGCACACACCTGCAGCCAATAGGAGTACAGGTGTCCCTATATAAGGGGATGCTTCCCCTCAATCAGCAATAATGGTCGGCAGGGCCTTAAGTCCTATGAGGCTCCGCTCCACTCATAGAACTGGAGTTAGAACTCTGGTAACTATCGTTGTATATCCTGGAGCTCCGCCCCATAGGGAAGCTCTGCTCCTATTGGTTTAAGGTGGAGCGCAACGTTCCAAAATGTACTCCCTGCCGAGCTTAACACTTCCCACCTATTGAAAAGGTCGGGCCCAGCAATGGCTGCGACCAAGTCCCACAGTACTGTGACACACTGTGTCACAATATACTGTGTCCTCAGTACAATCCGCCACACCTAGTCCAAAGGCATTGCCAATGTCTAGTGGGCAGATAACCAGAATATGAGCCATACTAATCTGAACCAGCAGATCCGTCAATATTACATGACCGGTCTAATAGTAATGTAAACAAAATTACAAACACTATTTCCCTCATCATTCCACCCTAACCCAGTTATACACTGGTGGGCAGCTCAACAACATGCCTTCTACTGTACTGAGAATATCAGTCAGGAGTCATGTCACATATGTCTCTCTCCTAGAAAAGAGCGGACCTGATGGAGACCAGCCCCCTCAGTCCTGCATCTTTCCTCCTAGCTCAAGTCCGCTGAGTACAGACTGAGTCAAAGAGTTAGAAGACATATCTAAGAGATTGAAACGGATAAAAGGAGACGGTGACTACCACTACGCCGCTGCGCAAATATCCTCTACCCCTGTTCCTCTGAAAAGGGCAGTAGAAGCCGCCACTCCACGAGTGGAGTGGGCTCTTATACCCAGAGGCAATGGCCGCCCTGCAGCCTCATAAGCCATCTCAATGCCTTCACAAAGTCAATGAGGCAGATGCTGTTTAGAAAGTGGTCTACCTAGTGCAGCCGCACCGTGACACACAAACACCTGAGATGATGACCTAATCACCGCCGTGCGTTCCATGTAGCGCGCCAAGGCACGCACTGGACACAGACGATGGAGCCGTTCCTCTCTCCTCTCACCATGGGGAGGGGGAGAGAAGGCCCACAGCTCTACGATCTGTGATCTGTATGAGCTCTTATGCCAGGTTAGGACGTAACACCACTCTGTTCAGATCGCCATTAATGGCAAGGCAGTCAGGTCTTGTCGAAAGAGCACACAAATCAGTGACACGCTTAGCAGTGGTCAAAGCGAGCAACAGTGCCATCTTCAAAGACAACATCTTGAGGGGAATTTGATTCAATGGTTGGAACGGTGGCTCACAGAGCGCTTCGCGTACCAAAGCCAAATCCCACTGGGGAAGCGTGGCTATAGGCCTTGGCCTAAGCCGCCGCTTTCCCAATAGGAAACGTTTCACCAGAGGGTGGCTGAAGACAGTGTCTCTGCCAAACCCTTCATGACAAGCCGAAATCAAAAACCGTGATCATTTTTTTATAATCGAACCGATACCGAACCAACCTCAAAAAGCACTAATCGCTCAGCACTACCTGCAGACAAACACGCTCCCGTTAAATGCCTTAGAGTAAAAAATTGAATAAATCATTGGTTCTCTACAGAACTTTCAGGTCTTGTTACGATGAGAAATCAGGTCTGGGCCAAGGCTAGAAAAACTGATTTTGTAGCTGTCAGGCAATTGAGAAATAGATGCACTTCCTCAGTCAAGAAAGCTAAATCTAGCTACTTTCTAAGTTCTATCTCAGACTCTGGTAGTGATAGGTCAACATTTCGGAAAACAGTTAATGCACTGAAGCGTGAAAATTCCTGTCCTTCTGTACCTAAGCAAGTTGTGTCAGACTCTGGCATCACTACTGAGAAAAATTAAGTGATGCTTTTAATCATCATTTTATCTCGGCAGGCTTTTTATTTGAAATAAATTGTGGTTTAACTGACCTTGGTCAGCTAGTCAACTGCCTGGCTCTTTCCCAGCTTGATGGAAGTTCCATCAACTTCTAGTGAATCTTTGTTTTCACTTCAACACCTTCCTACTTGTGATGTGCTAGACGCCTTCAACATTTATTTCTTTAAGCAATGGCTTTTTTCTGGCCACTCTTTCTGCCCAGCTCTGTGGAGTGTACGGCTTAAAGTGGTCCTATGGACAGATATTCCAATCTCTGCTGTGGAGCTTTGCAGCTCCTTCAGGGTTATCTTTGGTCTCTTTGTTGCCTCTCTGATTAATGCCCTCCTTGCCTGGTCCATGAGTTTTGGTGGGCTGCCCTCTCTTGGCAGGTTTGTTGTGGTGCCATATTCTTTCATTTTTTATTAATGGATTTAATGGTGCTCCGTGGGATTTTTTTATAACCCAACCCTGATCTGTACTTCTCCACAACGTTGTCCCTGACCTGTTTGGAGAGCAGGTCTTCATGGTGCCACTTGCTTGGTGGTGCCCCTTGGTTAGTGGTGTTGCAGACTCTGGGGTCTTTCAGAACAGGTGTATATATACTGAGATCATGTGACAGATCATGTGACACTTAGATTGCACACAGGTGCAGGTTCTGAAGGTAATTGGTTGCACCAGATCTTATTTAGGGGCTTCATACCAAAGGGGGTGAATACATATGCACGCACCTCTTTTCCATTATTTATTTTTGTGAATTTTTTGAAACAAGTAATTTTTTTTATTTCATTTCACCAATTTGGACTATTTTGTGTATGTCCATTACATGAAATCCAAATAAAAATCAATTTAAATTACAGGTTGTAATGCAACAAAATAGGAAAAAACGCCAAGGGGGATGAATACTTTTGCAAGGCACTGTAGCTGGTTTGAAAATTATTTAAAGGACAGAACACAGTGTGTATTTACTGATGGTGTTAATTTAGGTTTTATGGACATAACAAAGGGATCGATTCTTGGTCTGGTTCTTTTCACTATTTACATGAACAATATTGGTTTATTTATATAAAATTCTAACTTTCACCTGTGTGCAGACGACAGAGTGGTGTATGCTATTGACCCCACAGCTGACCAGGCTCTGTCAAAGATTCAATCTGCCTTTATTGCCCTGCAGAAAGCCTTTGTCGAACTGAAATTTGACCTTAATACAGTATATGTTATTTTCCCAAATCACGTAAAAAATTATCTGATCATTTATGCATACATACTTTGGATGGTGCCCTCATTGATTGTGTCCCCGCCTATAAATATCTGTGCATTCGGATTGTCGAAAAGCTATCTTTCAAAAACCATGTTGATGATTTAGTCAAGAAAGTAAGAATTAAAATAAGCTTATTCTATAGGAACAGGTTCTGTCTTTCGTTAAATAGCAGAAAACAAATAATTCAGTCAACATTTATTCCAGTTATTGACTATGGCAATATCATCTATATTTAGTTGATCATAGCGCGTTGCGCTTTATTACGGCCGATAGGTTGAGTACACATCATATGTTGTTGACCGCTGAACGCAGAATGAGAGACCTCGGTTTATTGTTTTTGTAAAGTTGTGACAGTGTTTTCTTGTAAAGTTAGATTTTATATACTTTTTAATTTTGGATCCCGCGGCTCAGTTGGGCTCAGTTGCTATGAACACTACTATCTGTTCCGGGATCCTGCCAGATTCCATGTAAAGAGAGAGACACAGATACCCAGCTAGCCTAGCTGGCTCGGCAGTCTCAAATGGAGATCGCTATTGAATGTTTTCAACCCTGCAGGAGCTGTGTTTGCTTTGCTTTATTCCGGGACAATGTGGACCGCACAGATTTTCAATGTAGCAACTGTTTGCTTGCAGAGGACTACAGGGGCGAAGTGGCTACTCTTAGCAAACAAGTAGCGAACCTACAAAAGCTACTGGGGAATCCACATCCATCTACTTTTTATTTTTATTCTACCCAAGTAGCTGGGCGCCGCTCTGGTCTGGTGGAAGTGTCGCCGCCGTGTCGGCTCTCCACAGCCGACTGGCCGGTACTCTGTAGGGATCCCTCCCCGAAGGGGTCTCCCCCTTCCCTGGAGAACGGAGCTAGTAGGATGCTCCTGGATGACTTGGGGGATATTCCTGTTCTCAACCCAACCAACCAGCCATGGAGATATGTCACTCGCCGTGGAAGTCGAAGAAAGCGTCCTCTGGCAATGAGGGCCTCCTTGGAGATGTTAAGCCCATACCGGACACAGACCAGAAACGGCTTTGCCGCCCTGGATCCAGAGGTTCCGGCGCCTTCATCTCGGTTCCCAGTGCAAAAACCTTGTGCTACCCAGGAGCATGAGTACAGGACATTACAAGGCTGCTTCCGACCGTTCTACGAATGCTGCCATGGGCTGATGCTGTTGTTGTCCATGTGGGGTCAAACGACATCAGGAGGGCTAGCTCGTAACTTCTGAAAATTGATTTGAAAGAACTGATTCTAGCACTGAAAGATTCCAAAAAAAGTGGCCAATAATTTCAGGTCCGGTACCATCGTTGGGCCGTGGGTTGAATGATTCAGCAGGCTATTGGCATTACACACCTGGCTAAAAGATTACTGTAGCTCTGTTGGAATCACTTTTATAGATAACTTTGACACCTTCTGGAAACAGAAGATACTCTACAGGAATGGCGGAGTCCATCGGATTAGTCTTGGCTCCTGGTCTCTGTCCACACATTTCAAGGCTGCGTTGAGACAATGACTTGTCAATGACCCAAGTCCAGCTCAGTTAATCCCTACCATTGTGATGCTGAGTTGCCATAATGCTGCATCAAATGTACATTATCCCAGGGGTGTTAGCAGTAGCACAATTTATGTCCCCCTAACTGCCCTGAATTCCTAACTGCACTCTGTTGATCCTACAGCGATTGTATGCAGTAATCATGTGCCAATGAACCAGAGTTACACTATTAGCATTGAGGTGGAGTGCCCTAGTAGGAAGTCCACTGGGTGCAGCTCACCATGTGCTATCATCTCCAATATAAATAACATAAGCAAGTCTACTTCTGATAAGCTTCCCAGTAAAACATTAAAAACAATCAAGCTACCCAGAAAAGTGCAAAAAATAGCCCATATGAACATATGTAGCCTAAGAAAAAAGGTTAATGAAGTCAATAATTTGCTTGTAACAGATGACATTCATACTCTGACTATCTCTGAAACTCACTTAGATAATACATTTGATGATACAGTGGTAGCAATACATGGTTATAACATCTACCGAAAAGGCAGAAATGCCAATGGGGGAGGTGTTGTGGTCTAAATTCAGAACCACATTCCTGTAAAGCTTAGAGAGGATCTCATGTTAAATACTGTTGAAGTAATATGGCTACAGGTTCATCTGCCTCACCTAAAGCCCATTCTTGTGGGAAGCTGCTATAGACCACCAAGTGCTAACAGTCAGTATCTGGATAATATGTGTGAAATGCTTGATAATGTATGTGATATCAACAGAGAAGTATATTTTCTGGATGATTTAAATATTGACTGACTTTCATCAAGCTGCCCACTCAAGAAAAAACGTCAAACTGTAACCAGTGCCTGCAACCTGGTTCAGATTGTCAGTCAACCTACCAGGGCTACAGCACAGGAATGAAATCATCAACATGTATTGATCATTACTAATGCTGCATAAATGTGCTTTAAAGCAGTATCCATAGGATGTAGTGATCACAATATAGTAGCCATATCTAGGAAATCCAAAGTTCCAAAGGCTGGGCCTAATATAGTGTATAAGAGGTCATACAATATGTTTTGTAGTGATTCTTATGTTGATGATGTAAAAAATATTTGCTGGTCTGTGGTGTGTAATGAGGAGCAACTAGACACTGCACTTGACACATTTATGAAATTGCTTATTTCAGTTAGTAATACACACGCACCCATTAAGAAAATGAATGTAAAAACTTCTAAATCCCCTTGTATTGATGAGGAATTGAAAAATTGTACGGTTGAGAGGACGAGGCAAAAGGTATAGCAAATAAGTCTGGCAGCACAACCGATTGGCAAACGTACTGCAAATTGAGAAATCATGTGACTAAACTAAATAAAAATAAAAATAAACTATACTATGAAACAAAAACAAATGATATAAAGAATGATAGTAAAACGCTTTGGAGCACCTTAAATGAAATACTTGGGAAAAAAGGCTAACTCGGATCCGTCATTGTCACGTTCGTTGAAGGACGGGACAGACCAAGGCGCAGCGTGATATACGTACATGTTTATTAACATAATAAACACTCGACAAAACAATAAACGAAACGAAACGTGAAGTCCAAGGTAGCACACACAACATACCTTACAAGGAACAAGATCCCACAACCCACTAGTGCCAATAGGCTGCCTAAGTATGGTCCCCAATCAGAGACAACGAGCGACAGCTGCCTCTGATTGGGAACCACACCGGCCAACATAGATATATACATACTAGAATAACACCCATTGAAAACGCACAACAAAGAATATACACACCCTGACTCAACATTTAAGCGTCCCCTGAGTCAGGGCGTGACAGTCATTCATTGAATCAGATGGCTCATTCATCACAAAACCCACTGATATTGCCAACTACTTTAATGATGTTTTCAATGGCAAGATTAGAAAATGTAGTTATGGCATGCCAGCAACAAACGCTGACACTACACATCCAAGTATATCTGAACAAATTATGAAAGACAAGCATTGTACTTTGGAATTCCGGAAGAAGTGAAAAAATTATTGTTGTCTATCAACAATGACAAGCCACTGGGCTCTGACAACTTGAATGGAAAATTTCTGAGGATAATAGCGGACGATATTGCCACTCCTATTTGTCATATCTTCAATTTAAGCCTACTAGAAAGTGTGTGCCCTCAGGCCTGGAGGGAAGCAAAAGTCATTCCGCTACCCAAGAATAGTAAAGCCCCCTTTACTGTGTGACACGTACTGAGTATACGAAGAGGCAGGACGCAGATGCAGGAATTAACAAGGTCAAGGTTTACTAAACAATGATAAAGAGAAATAAGAAAGAGAGCGTAAACGACACGAAGCTTAACAATCACACACAACATCATCCAGAACAGTCCAGGGCTAAATAGGGGTGGTGATGAGATGATGAGGTGCAGGTGCGCTGGAGGTGATTAGGGTGCGTAGGATTTCCTTTCCGGTGTTGCCAAGGTGGTGCGCTCAGACCGGTGGCTCAGTAGACCGGCGAATCAGAGCACCGGAGGGGAGCAACGGGAGGAGACGTGACATACTGGCTCAAATAGCCGACCAATCAGCCTGTTACCAACCCTTAGTAAACTTCTGGAAAAAATGGTGTTTGACCAGATACAATGCTATTTTACAGTAAACAAATTGACAACAGACCTTCAGCACGGTTATAAGGAAGGACATTCAACAAGCATAGCACTTACACAAATGACTGATGATTGGCTGAGATAAATTGATGATAAAAATATTGTGGGGGCTGTTTTGTTAGACTTCAGTGTAGCTTTTGACATTATCGATCATAGTGTGCTGCTGGAAAAACTTATGTGTTATGGCTTTACACCCCCTGCTATATTGTGGATAAAGGGTTACCTGTCTAACAGAACACAGAGGGTGTTCTTTAATGGAAGCCTCTCCAACATAATATAATATAATAATCCAGGTAGAATCAGGAATTCCCCATGGCAGCTGTCTAGTCCCCTTACTTTTTTCAATCTTTACTAACGACATGCCACTGGCTTTGAGTAAAGCAAGTGTGTCGATGTATGCGGGTGACTCAACACTATACACGTCAGCTACTACAGCGACTGAAATGACTGCAACACTTAACTAACTGCAGCTCTTTGTTTCAGAATGGGTGGAATAAGTTAGTCCTAAATATTTCCAAAACTAAACGCATTGCATTTGGGGCAAATCATTCACTAAAACCTAAACATCAACTGAATCTTGTAATGCAAGTTGAGGTGACTAAACGGCTTGGAGTAACCCTGGATTGTAAACTGTCATGGTCAGAACATATTGATACAACAGTAGCTAAGATGGGGAGAAGTCAAATCAAATCAAATCAAATCAAATTTGATTGGCCACATGCGCCGAATACAACAGGTGCAGACATTGCAGTGAAATGCTTACTTACAGCCCTTAACCAACAGTGCATTTCTTTTTAATAAAAAAAGTTAAATAAAACATTAACAAAAAAGTGTTGAGAAAAAAAGAGCAGAGGTAAAATAAAATAACAGTAGGGAGGCTATATATACAGTGGGGTACTGGTGCAGAGTCAATGTGCGGGGCCACCGGCTAGTTGAGGTAGTTAAAGTAATATGTACATGTGGGTAGAGTTAAAGTGACTATGCATAAATAATTAACAGAGTAGCAGCAGCGTAAAAAGATGGGGTGGGGGGCAGTGCAAATAGACCGGGTAGCCATGATTAGCTGTTCAGGAGTCTTATGGCTTGGGGGTAGAAGCTGTTGAGAAGTCTTTTGGACCTAGACTTGGCACTCCGGTACTGCTTGCCGTGCGGTAGCAGAGAGAACAGTCTATGACTAGGGTGGCTGGAGTATTTGACAATTTTGAGGGCCTTCCTCTGACACCGCCTGGTATAGAGGTCCTGGTCTGTCCATAATAAAGCACTGCTCTGTCTTCTTAACAACACTATCAACAAGGCAGGTCCTACAGGCCCTAGTTTTGTCGCACCTGGTCTACTGTTCAGTAGTGAAGAGGGAAAATTACAATTGGCTCAGAACAGGGCAGCACGGCTGGCACTTAAAAGTACACGTGAAGCTAACATTAATGATATGCATGTCAATCTCTCATGGCTTAAAGTGGACGAGAGATTGACTTCATCACTACTTGTATTTGTGAGAAGTGTTGACAAGCTGAATGTACCGAGCTGTTTGTTTAAACTACTAGCACCGGACACCCATGCATACCCCACAAGACATTCCAGAGATCTCTTCACAATCCTCATGTCCAGAACAGACTATGGGAGGCGTACAGTACTACATAGAGCCATGACTACATGGAACTCTATTCCACATCAGGTAACTGATGCAAGCAGTACAATCAGATTAAAAAAACAGATTAAAATACACTTTATGGAACAGCGGGGATTGTGAAGAGACACACACAAAGGTACAGACACACGCATACGCACTCAAGCACTAGCACACGCACTCTACACACATGTACATTGTAATATTGTTGTGTGGTGATATTATACGTTTTTTTGTATTGTAGATGTGTAGTGGTGTAATATTGTTATTTGATGTACTGTTTTATATTTTGTTTTAGGAACCTTGGCAGCAGCTAATGGGGATCCCTAATAAATACAAATAAATACAAATACAACCATTTTTATCAGAATGTGGGCTGGCCCTCCTTGAAGTCTCATAGATGGATTTTGTCCATAAAGCCCTCTTGCATAAATGTCTGCCATACCTTACCTCATTGCTAGCCTATAGATTTACAGGCTACCGGACCGGGGCTCAGCGATAGCTAACTCTGGAGATCCCTTCGATCTCCACTGGGTTGGGTAGATCTGCTTTTAGTTTTTTTGCACCTCTGTCGTGTAATGATCTACAATACACTTTAAAATTGGAGGAATTGGTGTCTCTAGGGCATTTCAGACGGTTGTTAGGGGTCTTTTTCACTGAACAATTTTTCTGTTTTTTTATGATTGTGTTTTGCTTTTTGTGTGTTGTTGTGTATAATAACATGTATATGAATGTGTAGTGTAAAGGCTCATCTGGAAAATAGATCTTGGTCTCAGCATTGACTCCCTCTCAAAATAAAGGTTAAATAAAAATAGACATATGCTGTACAAATATCATACACTCTCAGAAATAAAGGATTTTTTTCTTAAAGGGGTGCAACCACTTGTCACTGGGGTGGTGCCCTGTAAGGTCATCCTTTGTACCTATAGTTATAGGTAAATAATTGTATCCCAGTTCATACCTCAGATATTACCTTTCTGTAGTCCACAGGCTTTTAGAAAAGGTAAATGTTGTCTTTAAAGAGTACCAACACAGTGACAAAGCCATATGTTCTTGGTACGTGACAAAAACGTACCTCTACCATAGACCAGTTAAAGTGGTACAACACTTCCACTCACGGGTGTCCAACAATAACTAACTGAAAGCCACGCCCCCAATAAATCAAGCCGCCAATATAATTTCCCAGTGTGCCTTGCCTTTTCGAGTGAATTGTAGAGTTACCACCCATGACTGTATTTGTTAGTGACAGAGACATGGTTGTTGAATTTGTTCATTTTCAGTCCTGTGAGTTCCTAGGTGTATGTTATTATTCAAATTAGTCTCTTTATGACATTACATATCGCATAAGGCCTTATTTTCAAGTTTTCCCCAAATACAGTGGCCTGAAACCCATGGTTTACAAAATTCCCAGATTTTCAAGAAATCCTGGTTGAAGGATTTCCTGCTTATTCCCTCCTGTTTCCAGTAATCTACCAACTGGAATTTTTGAAAAACCTGGGAAAGTTACCATGATTTCAGTAACGGGTGCATAAAATCGTAGTTAGTTTAGGTACATTTATCTTATTTATCTTTGTGTAGTTTAAGATTAATAAATGAATCAATGTACATGCAAAAACACAGATATTAAAAGCAATTGCACAAAATCTACCTGCAGTAGAGCATGCTGGGAAATATGGTAATGATAATGATTATGGTACAAATGTGCCTTTTTAGGGTACCAACCCAGTGACAAATCCGTTAGTTCCCTTTAGGTGGCAAACATGTATCATTGTACCTTATTGAGGGTACAAAAGTTCAGAAATGTACCTTCACATCGTACCCCTTTTTTTGAGAGTGAGAGTGTGTTTATTGTACCTTTATATTCAAAATATTGGGTACAAAAATGTACCCTTATACTCATTATCCGCACATGTACCCTAAAAGGTACTGAACAGTACTGTGCCCTAATGTGTATTTTGATATTTTTGTATCCCAGGGAACAGTACTGCACTCTAACCATACCCTTATTACTAAGAGTGTAAATATATTAACAATCTAAAATGTCTTTGTAATCTCCTCCCTAGGTGTTAAGGTGGAGGAGGCGGTGTCCACTGGAGGCGGCAGCATGAAATGCACAGTGTGTGACCACACAGCAGACTCTCTCCCCAGCCTCCAGCAGCACATTCTCTCCCACCTGTCTCAGACAGGCTACCGGTGCTCCCACTGCCACTTCAACTTCACCTCCCCCAGAGAACTGGACAAGCACCACGAGATCCACGGACACAGTCACAGCCCACTCAGACAGCTCAGTCAGGCCGATACAGAGTGCTCTCCCAAGGGGGGCAGCAGCGTGGAGAGGAGACCCCAGCAGGCCAAGATGGAGCAGGGGAGGGAGCTCCTTCAGAGCCCAGTGCTGGGTAGCAGCCTTGACACCAGGACCAGTCCCAATGCGGAGCTGGAAAAGATAGAGACTTCCCCAGTGAAAGCTGATCCTAACTCAGGAAGCAGAGCTAGTTTCTCCTACACCAGTGTCAAATCGGAGCCCTCCAGCCCTCGCCAGGCGTCCTCGCCCATCCAGAACAACATGGGCCCCGCTGCTTTCCCCATGGGGCCGTTCTTATCCCATTTCCCCTTCTCACAGGACATAACAGCTGCCCCCCAGGCCTCGGAGATCCTGGCTAAGATGTCCGAGTTGGTCCACCGTAGACTGAGGCATGGAGGTACTAACCACTACCCTGCTCATGTCATGTACAGCAACCTTGTCCCCAAAGGGGCCACGTGTTTCGAATGCAATATCACTTTCGGGAACTTGGACAACTACTTAATTCATAAAAAGCACTACTGTAATAGTGGTTGGCAGCACGTGGCCAAGCCACATGATTACGCCAGTGTCCTGGACAAAGTGACCGATACAGGGAGCCCTAAAAGTGGGGGTTTGGGTGGGTTGGGCAGCCTAAACATGGGTCAGGGTCATCTATCTGACCCCAACAGTCATCTCACTTCCCCCCGCCTGAACCTGTCAGGACTAGACCTGTTCAAGGTTGGGGAGGGGAAGGCACAGGTACAGGCTGAGCTCCCAGGTACTGTGAAGAACCCCTCCACCCCCACCAGAACAGATGAGAACCCCTCTATACAGGGAGACGTGACAAGTCCCAAAATGTCTCAAACGCCAAAGACAGAAATCTTAGACCCTAACAAGACAACGTGTGAACCCTGTAAGATCACCTTCAGTCGTACAGAGACCTATATGGTTCACAAGCAGTATTACTGCGCCACGCGTCATGACCCGCCCATGAAACGAGCGCACGGCAACAAACTGCCCGCCACCCAGAGAACAGTGCGTACACGGAAACGGAGGAAGAACTTCGAAATGAACGGTCCCAACCACGAACAACAGAGGTCTTCCATGAATCATCATCCACGTTACTTTGGGATAGCACCCATTGGAGGACCAGGCATGTACCAAGACCCAGGGGAGATATTCGGTAACCAGTTTCACCCCAGGTACATGTTCCTTGGCATGGTTCCTAAGCATCCAGAGGCTAATCTCCCTTTCACAAAATCAGCTCTGATATCTAAGTGCAATGCCATAGCGCAAGATGAACTGGACAGCCCTATTGATCTCAGTAAAAAGTGTTCATCATCAAGCCCTGGTAAATTATCTACCACCCATAAAAGACTCATGGACTATCACGAGTGCACAGTGTGCAAGATCAGCTTCAACAAAGTGGAAGACTACCTTGCGCACAAACAGAGCTCTTGCCCAGTCACTGCTCCAGATCACAAAACATCTGCGGTCGTAAAAAGAGGAGGGTTTAACAACCCAGTAGATGACAATGATACAAACTTGGAGAAATGTGTCACCAATGGAGCCAATGAGGTGTTGTTTCAAATAGGTAGCACTAAGGGGGATCAGCTCGCTGTCATCAAAGAGGAAAGCATGGACGAGTTTCTGTCGCAAGAATTTAACCCTCCTTTATTTAAGAAAATGAGACGTGATGAACAGATTTCACCCTTTCTTGGAATCAAGCCTGCCGACTACACCACAGATACAGTGGTGATGCAGAGAGAGCTCAGCGAGCAGAGACAAAGCCCCAATGAAGGGAGTGAGGTGGAAAAAAATCAGCCTATGCCTGATGGCTACCAGGAAACACAAGGTGTTTTGCCCCAAAATGGCCGCCAGGGGCCTGAGGACATGGTCATAGACACAGAAAACACACTCCAGGACAACAAGCTTGTTAACTCTCATCTCCCAGACAGCCACGTATCATCCTTGTCAGATTCAGAGAGTCCTTTCAGTGTCAACTCCAAGAAGAGCACTTCCTCATCTTTATCCTCCCCAGTAGTTTCAAAGACAGAGGAGGTCCTAACTTCCTGTGTGAAAAGAGGCCTGAACGACTCCATCCAGGCAACACAGGGTAATGTCAAATACTGCCGCCCCTGCGACATCCAGTTCAACAACCTGTCCAACTTCATAACGCACAAGAAGTTCTACTGCTCGTCACACACCGCTGAGCACGTCAAATGAGTTTGGTTCGGTGCCCAGTCTCTCTCCTCCTAAACCTGCCACACACAGCTTAAATACAGCACTGCTGGTGGACAATCAAGAGTACCATCTCCCTTCAATTTGATAGCAAAATGCAAACATGTTTGTTGGACAAAAAAAGGTGTCATATTTTTTGCCCTCTTTGTGTTGTATTTATTGTATTAGAAAAATACTTTCAGTGTTAAGATTTTAATAGATATTTAATTGAAAAATAATGATGTTTATGCTAATTAATTCTAAAACCGTATGTCATACGCACAGAGAATTGTTGACTTTTGAATGCATATTTATTGATTATGAAGATATGTACAACAATAACTCATTTTTGGTTGAAAAGCCTCAGAAGCGCTTGTCTATCTATACAGATTATTATTGAGTTTTAGTATGTTTACCATCATGAAGTGATTAAAATAATACTGTTTTTGGAATGATAGGACACGTTTGTTGATCTTATATTTCAGTGTAGAACTTTGTCATGTACTTTATGTGTAAATTGCAGTTTGTATATTCATTTAAATGTCTGGTTTTACTCTGATGCAAAACGTTGTAATTTTTTAAGTGTACCTCTGTTTGTTGATTTTGTTGTCCTTTTTTAAAATCTCTATTGCAGTATTATGAAAGAGTGAATTAATATGTTTATTTTGTCTGATTTGATGAATTGTTGATAAAAGGTTTATGAGTGTTTACCATGAAGGTTGTGATTATTCCAATGTCAAAAAATACATTGTTAAAATGTGTTGCTATGCATGCCTGTGTTCGGAATGAAATTTCTCAAAATGTTTGATATTTTTATGTTATGTGTTGTGGAAATTAAAATTAAAATCTCAGGCCCAACTTGCTTTGTGATGTCTATCTACAGTATCTCCCAGCAAACACGTTACGTAACCACGACCAACCCTGACGTAATGGATTGGTAGTTATTGGTAATTCCCACAACGTAATCTGAAGGTAATATCATAACCACCACATTTGGTCATCTTCCTTACCATCTCAACACGTCGCAGCAACGTGATTTCATAACGTTACATATTGGCTCCAAATCCCGATTATACCCATGGAGAATGTAACAGTATGACTGATATAGGTTTTTCAAGGCTGCATGCGCATTTGCATTGCTGTGTTTATGAAATAATTTGGTATATGGCTCACACTCTATTTGATATGTGAAGCATGTACCGCAAATGTATTTTCAATGCATATATATAAGGTTTTTGTTCAATTCAATTAATAGATTGGTTTTTAATTAACACAAGTTCTCCCTCTGTTTTTAAAATCATCAACTGGAGTGTCAATATTTAGTGCTACCACTAGAGAGAGACATTCAGAGTGTTGCTACTGCCTGTGCGCGCTGCTCTTCTTCACATTGAGAACGAAGAAGCAAGTTAACTCTCCCGTCTCGAGTGAAAATTGTATAGATTTTGTGAATGAAGCAAGGCTAGCTGGATGGTTTTGTATGTAAGTCTGTGAGACAAAATGGTGGCCACAAAGATCTTTATTTTAAGTATGAATGTTTTTAGCTCCTAATGGTTTTGTTTGCACGAACAAAGGCTCACATTATTTGTAAATTCATTTGTACATATGAAAAATGCCAATTATATGTAATTTAACCTCTTCATCACGAGGTTCCCCATATCCGGGGGACTCCTCCCGCAATCTCAAACAATGGCATAGTACGGTTTTTAAACATGTGTGAATACCTGAATGTTATACACTACTGGAACGAGAAGCGTCTCAACTGTGAATCTAGCTAAACTGTTGTTGCCCAAATGAAATAATATTCAGACTCCAAGCAAATATATAAGCATATAGCAAAACCAGTACTGTATTTTGAAACCGTGCATGCCCGTATATTCGTAGACAGATAACGTATTTTTCTCAACCTATCTACACAAACGATACACCATTCAAAAGCTGCTACCTCACAGATTCCAACAGTGATAGCCGTGTTCCTCTATGACCAACACTCACTAAACTATTAATCAAAGAACGTCAATAACAAACTTCCATTTTTTTTTATCACAACAACAAACTGTGTCTTACCTTTGTTGTTTCTGTTACCAAAAGTAGTGTCTGATCGAATAAAACCACTTGAAAAGATACTCTAGGGTCTCTCTCTCATTCCGAGTCGATTTCAATGAGTTTCCATCGTTTTACATGGCCAACAATGTGTTTGAAGATGAAGTCAGTAGTTTGGTTCAATCACAACAGGCACTGTTTTGTCGCCATCTTCTGGATATATGATGCAATCCCCGTGGTTTGTCTTTGTGCTCATTTAATTCTACTGCTCCAGAGCTTTCAATAGAAGAGTCACATGTCATAATCGACCAACCGGTTGTCTCATATTAGTTGACTTGCTGCGTTACGCACGGTTACGCAGAGCGCACAACAACACTAGAATTTCGGAGGGAAAACGCAAAGTTTATTCAAATATGTCAGGCTATAGTAACAAATATACAGTTACAGAGGCGTTATTAATTGTAACAGATGAAAGTTGGACTCCATGTATCCCCATTGACTCTGAATCAGATGATGAGGACCTGCTTAGACCGGACGAACCAGACCCCAACGATGAGAAGGAAGGTTATCGTGTCCAGGGCCCTACTCAAGCATCAGAAGAGTATGTAATCCCATTGTTATTTATTACTTCTAATACTACTATTACTAATTTATTGTATGAGTACAAAACATACATTCTAAAATATCTATTTGAGTAACTGAAGCTCAACGTAAGTTAGCGCTAGCTTAGCTTAGAGGCCCACGCGCAAGTTTACTTACAATAGAATGCTATGTGTATTATTTCTTGTCACTGAATTATCACTTTAGTTGACATTCTCATAGTTCGAACTATTTATTTTATATATCTGACTTTTGAGTCAGATTTGTCAATGAATGAATACAAGTGTGTTTTAGTCATGATTTTCTTTTCTCTTTTGTCTTGTTTGTACAGTGAAGATGATTATATAGGTTGATGAGCCACAGCCAGAGCATCTGCCTCCCCAGCCACAGCTTCCCCTTCCTCAGGCAGAGCCTCCTCTTCCTCAGCCTGGCCGCATGTCTAGACAACGCACTTCTGCTCCCCTCCCTCAGCCACGGTCTTCATCGGACACCGAGTCCCCTGTAAAGAGCCCTCAACCCAAAAGAAAAGGAAAAGCTTTCTCAAAGTCAGTGGGGGAAAAAAGTATTTAGTCAGCCACCAATTGTGCAAGTTCTCCCACATAAAAAGATGAGAGAGGCCTGTAATTTTCATCATAGGTACACGTCAACTATGACAGACAAAATGAGAGAAAAAAACCCAGAAAATCACATGGTAGGATTTTTAATGAATTTATTTGCAAATTATGGTGGAAAATAAGTATTTGGTCAATAACAAAAGTTTCTCAATACTTTGTTATATACCCTTTGTTGGCAATGACACAGGTCAAACGTTTTCTGTAAGTCTTCACAAGGTTTTCACACACTGTTGCTGGTATTTTGGCCCATTCCTCCATACAGATCTCCTCTAGAGCAGGGATGTTTTGGGGCTGTCGCTGGGCAACACAGACGTTCAACTCCCTCCAAAGATTTTCTATGGGGTTGAGATCTGGAGACTGGCTAGGCAACTCCAGGACCTTGAAATGCTTCTTACGAAGCCACTCCTTCGTTGCCCGGGCGGTGTGTTTGGGATCATTGTCATGCTGAAAGACCCAACCACGTTTCATCTTCAATGCCCTTGCTGATGGAAGGAGGTTTTCACTCAAAATCTCACGATACATGGCCCCATTCATTCTTTCCTTTACACGGATTAGTCGTCCTGGTCCCTTTGCAGAAAAACAGCCCCAAAGCATGATGTTTCCACTATCGTATATGAAGATTATGACGTTGTTAATGTTTTAAGTGGAACCGGAGAGGACGTTGATTTTAGTATCAAGAGGGAATGTTTTAGTGTAACGCCACATACAACAGACAGGAAGTGTGTTGTAGACAGGGGATTGGACAGTAGAGGGAGCCACCCACATCTTGGGGAGATTATATATACTGGGGGAAAAACGAAGAAGAGTCAGAAGCATTCAGATTAATTTGGGAGGTGCTTCTCCAGACACCGCGGGTCTGTAACTTATGCTGTAACCTTGTGATATTAATAAAAGCCTCTAATCACGGTGCAGCCTAAGCGGACTCCTTGATTGATAGCAATAATTGCCAGCATTCACCCGATACGACACCACCCCATGCTTCACAGTAGGTATGTTGTTCTTTGGATGCAACTCAGCATTCTTTGTCCTCCAAACACGACAAGTTGAGTTTTTACCAAAAAGTTCTATTTTGGTTTCATCTGACCATATGCCATTCTTCCAATCCTCTTCTGGATCATCCAAATGCACTCTAGCAAACTTCAGACGGGCCTGGACATGTACTGGCTTAAGCAGGGGGACACGTCTGGCACTGCAGGATTTGAGTCCCTGGCAGCGTAGTCTGTTACTGATGGTAGGCTTTGTTACTTTGGTCCCAGCTCTCTGCAGGTCATTCACTAGGTCCCCCCATGTGGTTCTGGGATTTTTGCTCACCGTTCTTGTGATAATTTCGACCCCACGGGGTGAGATCTTGCGTGGAGCCCCAGACCGAGGGAGATTGTCAGTGGTCTTGTATGTCTTCCATTTCCTAATAATTGCTCCAACAGTTGATTTCTTCAAACCAAGCTGCTTACCTATTGCAGATTCAGTCTTCCCAGCCTGGTGCAGGTCTACAATTTTGTTTCTGGTGTCCTTTGACAGCTCTTTGGTCTTGGCCATAGTGGAGTTTGGAGTGTGACTGTTTGAGGTTGTGGACAGGTGTCTTTTATACTGATAACAAGTTCAAAGAGGTGCCATTAATACAGGTAACGAGTGGAGGACAGAGGAGCCTCTTAAAGAAGAAGTTACAGGTCTGTGAGAGCCAGAAATCTTGCTTGTTTGTAGGTGACCAAATACTTATTTTCCACCATAATTTGCTAATAAATTCATTAAAAA